CTAAAAATTTTTGTTTGTAAAGATCAATCGTTTTTTAAACTAATTCATGTTTTGTATAATAACATAATTAACTATAATAATATTTATTATAATAAATATATTTTATTAATAAAAATTTATCAAATATTTTTTTTTATGTTCCTAAGTGAATTAGGGGATGTCATTCAAAACTTGGGGGCCTTAGCTCCCCTATTTCCGATTATAGCTACTTCTACGAATAATTGATTTGTGTAATAAATTTAATTAATTATAACGATTTTAATTAAAAATTATATTTTAGGTAAATATGTTTGACCGTTCGCTATCAGATGGTTCCAATCATCCGATGTAAACAAACGTTTTTTATTGTTCCCATACAAAACAAAATCTGAACGTATACGTTCGTGAACGGACGATTCAAAAATATACCCCCAGATCATCGATAGAAAGAGTATTTTGAGTCACCACATCATTTATGTTTTTTAACTTTTCATTACATTTGTTTAGCTTTCATTCCAAACAAAAACCAGTTACATCCATTAATAATGAATTAATTAAATACATATAAGCTCAAAATTAAATAATCGTTTTTTACATCCTACTCCGTGTTCCCAACAATACACAATAACGAATGCAGAAGAGACAATCGTGGCTAGTGTAACGCTTACTCATTAATAGCGATTACGATAGTACTCACTTTATTATATAATAGAACAATGAAAAAACGCTTTTCTGAAAAAATTAATTAGCGTGGTCGGATTTTCAAATAAATTTTTTTCAACGAAAGTACTCGGGCACCAGACTCCTGGAAAATTTTTGGCGAAAGTCGGAAAATGTTTGCCGCTCGCCCACGAGCGTTTTAAAATTTCGACTGTTTTCGAGAAAAACGCCTGGGTTTTAGGACTTAAGGTTTGCAATTTTCATGAGACCCGCCCAATGACACAATAACTTTACATAATAAAACTTCAATACCAGTATTTTAAATTGTGATCAATTAAGTATAGAATTTTATGATAAAAATATCACCAAAAATGATGTGTCATTTATTGATTATTACATAAATAGAAAAAAATTCGATTGTTTAATTTTAAATGTAATAATAGTCAAAATTACTGACAAAAATTCTAATATAGGATCAAAGAGCATGTCATCTCATTTCNTAGGGGGGATTCAAAATGACAACTTTTTCACAAAAAATTTACTTTTTCAACTTCAATTTTGAAAGTGTTCCAGAAGGTCTGACACTTTTATATATATTTTAAATTAAAGCTAATGTAATATACTTTATTATGTAAAAAACAAATTTCGTACTTTATTTTGTCTTCACGATGAAAATGGCTACCAAATGCTATTATTGTGTGAAAATTCTCAATTTTATTTTTTACATTTTTAACTTTATAATGCTATAACTTATTGAAAAGTGTATTGATCAATATAATTTTTTTATGGGAAATACTATTTTTTAATAATCCCTTTTTCATTCGACATACTTTATCTTAATCAGGATATTAATAAGGAACTAGCAGTTTATGAAGCTTTTGGAATAATCCACCAATTTTTTAAAATTAAACACTATCTAAAGATTTGCATCGAAGCGTTTTTTTTTATAGTGATTTTAATCACTGTCAGATATCATTATACTTGATCCATCTATACCACGTCACCACTGTGCCGCGACCCCCTGTGCTGGGTTTTTTTTTATGTTCCTAAGTGAATTAGGGGATGTCATTCAAAACTTGGGGGCCTTAGCTCCCCTATTTCCGATTATAGCTACTTCTACGAATAATTGATTTGTTTAATAAATTTAATTAATTATAACGATTTTAATTAAAAATTATATTTTAGGTAAATATGTTTGACCGTTCGCTATCAGATGGTTCTAATCATCCGATGTAAACAAACGTTTTTTATTGTTCCCATNTGCTGTTCTATATTTATTCACTCCATGTCTGGATGTAACAATTTAATGTTTTAAAATTTAATCATTGTATAATCATTAATTATAATTTTGTAATTAGCTTATAAAACTAACAATTTTGTATAAAAAATTGTAAAGCAAGTTTCAACTATTTCAAATCATTATAAAAAACATACGAGCATTTTGAATGAAGAAAAAACAATTCATACTAGTAATGGTGATAAAATAATTAGTTCAACGATGCCCCAGATGAATACTATAGAATTCACATTATCAGTATAACTAAAGAATTAAGAGCTCATACAATATATATACTACAAACTATTAAAATAAATATATTTGTATTATTAAAATGTATTAAATTTGTATAATCATGACTTCATAAGACAGTTACTATAAACTACGAAGTCCTACAACAAAGATGAATCATAGATTTCCATTGAATAGCAGTTTTATAATCATACAGAACCAAATTGCAATACACATAAATTACAAAGACCAAAATTATAAAAGAATGAAAAACGACTGAACTTATTATTTTAGTGGCTATTACTACGTATGGAGAGAACACAACGGTCCTCGAATACAACTTCTGATTCATTAAAAATTTACTATTCTTATTATATATAAATTATTTGCCTTACTCGGCGTACAGATTTTTAATCTGTTTTTGTTATAAAAAAAAAATAAGAATTAATAACGTGTTGTAAAAATACGACACTACTAATAACGTTATAACTACTATCAAATCACACAACTCAAAACACTACAAATATTTTTTTATTTATACACATACTTTATCATAAAAACACTGAACTAATAAATATCATATTGAATATTAGATTATATCACTATTTATTATATGTATTTTGTATCATTTATTAATATACTATGTATTATTATTCACTGATATAAAATATTTACTCATATATGTCATTCTTATAACAATAATTAAAAATGGATATTTATCCAAATTACTCATTATTAATTATTAACTATATCTTTTATATATTCATTATCATTATTATACTTACTATTATATAATATCATAATCACATTATTATTATCAAAGAATCACTATTATATTATACTATATTCAGACATTATTATTATCATTTTACTCATGATTTAAATTTTTACTTATTCAATATTTACTATTTTTTATATTTAAGCATAATATACATTTTTTTTCCTTCGATTATAACGAGTACATACTATGCTCTCTTACATATCATTTCAAACAGAAATACATTTATAATTTTCAGACATGTTCCTTATATCAATTTTTATCATATAACATTAACTTTCATCTCACCTTTCTAATCCGCTATTGTATTTCAGTTGTGAGGACACAACATTTAAAAAAATCAAGGCAGATGTCGTAATATATCGTCACTATTATTTATACGGGACAACACTAAAATACCCTGTTCATGTACTCAACAATGCTATCTTTTTAGTATTTATTAGTATATTCTTTTTTCATTTCAAATAGTCACCACTTCTACCCATAGAAATGGTACATTTTAACTTGTTTCATTATACATTATATTCTTACAAGGACATGATCCTTTTCAAGCAAAACTTAGATAAACATTTAAGAGAAATAGTCAAAAAACTCACACTGTTTGGCTACATTATAGTGTATGCGGTTCGGTAATAAATCAATTAATAATTATTTTTAAAATCCTTCATCACCAAAAGAAAATCTATATATTATTTTTTATCATCTTTGTTATTTAACTATTAATAGATTAATGCATTGTATTAATTTTCGTCTTACTTGAAAAAAACATGTTATTGTTACATATGTAAATGTAAAAATAATTCATGGTCTATTCGTCTGTATTGATCTCTGTGTTTTATGCTTAATTATCAATAAACAATTATACTAAAAATTCGACAGTGACGATTTTTGGGGGTAAAAAATATTATAAAAAGCCAGAGAAAATCCTTGCTCCTGGCTGTTCATTTCGTGCTCCGTATTGGGCTGTTCTTATGGTGGTCCGCATTAAGTTGTGCGAACGTCGTGATCGTCGTTGTCGAAATTTTATGTGTTAATTTGTGAACTAAAAATCTAAACTTGTGTATTTATTTATCATTTACACCGATATCATCACTAAGGATAATTATAAGAACCAGAGAATTTAACAGGTAAGATTTTTTTACATTGTTATTTTATGACCCTCGAATTACACCCCGAAACAAAAGTAACTCTCACTTTCATTTTTTTAATTCCAACAAAAATAATCATTCTGACCCTTTTTCCTTTAATATTTTTTTTATATTTTTTATTAATAATTTTGAGTTACGACAATTAGAATTTAATAATTTTTGTGTATACCAGGGGTGTATTTAAGGGAGATATGGGCCCCCCTTGAACCAGCGCTATCAATATTTTTTTAGGCAACTTCTAATAAATAAGGACCTAATGTCCTTTTTTTTCATCATTACTTCAATGTTTAGCAAAAAAAATTCTATAACAAGTTTAACACAGTAAAAAATATTAAATGCCCTCCTAAAATAATTTTTGAATAGGCCCAAAGGGAATATCCCATTAACAAACGTCAACTTTATACCCAATACAATTTACTATATTCGCTTTTTGAATTTTCCCGATTTTAATAATATATTATTGTTACACCTATTTTGTTGTAATATTTTTTCTGCAAAACTCTTATCGTGCCAGGTGTAGCTGGGTACCCCTACCGGAATCAGTGGTCTACTTATGATAACAGCCCGAAGAGGCTGGTAGGACTCTGGGGCAGAACCTCAGCTAGAAATAATAATATAAATATTGCGTATATGTGATTGTGGCGGGGGCCGTGTATATTATTAAGTAATTAAACTAGAGTTTTATACAGCGGCGGCAACAAACGCATTAGTCAGTCATTTCTAGCTGGACTTGGACGGTCAGGGAGGTACGTGAATCCTCTATCTTACCCTACTAGTTCCATTATCACAATTTTTATTTTTATTTAAATTGTTATGCATTAACTAGTTAAAAGTAAGATAGCAAATTATATATTTATAGAAATTTTAGCAATATTTTTCATTCAGGTTAACTTAAATGAATTTTGATTGTAAAATAAATTTAAACACATTCAAAATTTATATATTTATTTCTATTCTATCGCAATGAATTATTTATATAAAATCGTATTAATTGTAATGCAAAAGTATTAATTATTTTAACAAAAAATAAGTGGATTTTTTAAAAACTTATAAAATTGAGTTAAGAGTGTTCAGACAGATAAAAGAATACACTGAAGTTTATAAGGAATAATTAGTGACAGTAACTTTGCTGAAGAAGGATTAGTGAATAAGTGAATAGCAAACAGGATCTTTAGGCTTTATATAATGTGTCACAAACAGCATAAACGGAGATTGGACAACTTGAATGTTTCATACTTTTTGTAGACACATTCAGTCATATAAGGCTATCAAATCTCTCATTTATTATTTGTTGACATATACTCTCTTGTGCCTTAGTCCAATCCATTGTAACCTCCAATTTTGCTAACCTAAAAGCTTTATTTTTAGGGTCTTTTATTTGTATTAAATCATCAAGTATTTCACGATAATATTTCGCGTACATTTCTCTGAATTCTAAGAAAAATAAACCAATATATTATTAATTGATTAAAAGAAACTAAATGTCAGTTTTTTAATTAATACTGGAATAATTCAACTTGATAAATTAATAAAATAACTTTTTATCAACTATAAATTTTTCGATAATCCCTATAATTTAAAACGATTATCGATACTATATAAATAAACGTATATACCGGCTATTTTCATTTTTTTTCAAACATTTTAGCCATATGGCTTTTCTGGATAACGAATCAAAAGTTATTTTACTAATATATCATATATCAGATGAAATTTTTTATTTTAAAAGTTACTTAAATAAAAATAATACATATAACTTTATTTAGTAAAAATTAATTTTATAATAAATTTAGAAATCCTTATTTCGAATTAAGGGATATTAATATCAAGTCGNAATCCTTATTTCGAATTAAGGGATATTAATATCAAGTCGTAAAAGTGAAATTAAATAACATTTGATGGCATATAAGAATCTATTGCAAATTATTCCATTTGGTTGGCTATAAATGAAATTAGTAAATTAAGATACCATTCGCCATCCCGACAATAGATAAACTATCATTCTTGGAATCATGAAAACTTTTT